AGGTCATTTTGGATGATCTTACCTGAAGTACCATACTCTTCTATGTATTCTTTAAAAAGCATCTGTCGTACTCTGCTAAGGACCAGTGTGGACAATACCATGCTGCAACAGTCTTCCAGGTAAAGGAAATGCCTTGAGTGAATGAAAGGTTGTCCAGAAATGAAAGAGTCTCAGTGGAATACTTTTAAAACCTTCAGACACATCAGAATATTAAGTTAGAGGGAGAAGGCAAAATAGAGATATAGCTTATGAATTGGGGCAAAAAAAAAGATGAAGAGATAATGCGATAAAGAAAGATATGAGAGATTAATATTTGAAATAAATTCATTCAATAAATATTGAATACATGCATTAAGTTCTCAGATGAGCTGGTAAGACAGGTATGGTCCCTACTTGTCCTACAGACAAATAAACAACCCAGTAGATCTTAAAAAGATAAAATAATAATTTTTAAGATAGTTTTTTCCTGAATTACTTGCACTAACCTTCTCACACTCTCCCAAGTTGTAATTCTGTTTACCTAAATAAACTTAAAAAAAAAAAAAAAGCTAATTGATGGAATGGAAGCAATAATGATTTTAAAAGTAGAAAACAAAAGGGACTTACTAATATTTTTTAAATACTCAGAAAAAAATTTTAGAATGTTTATTTTGTTCTAGACATGTTTTTGGAAAAGCTTGTCATACAAAGAGCTATTTGGGGAGAACTTTTAAACTTTAAAATAAGAATCTCACAAGTGTCTAAGACTCATAGGGTAACAATAAAGCAACTTCTAGCAAGCTTTGAAGGAAATATGATTTAATATAAGGGCATTTTCAAAGATGCCAGAAATAAGAAAATGTATCCTCCTTCTGAGTAAGCTATTCCAAGACACGATCTAGAGCAAGAGATGATTAAAAGAAAAAAATTCAAGCATAGGGAAGTTTCAGCTAGAAGAGACTGGCAGTAAACATTGAAAACATTTCATTTATAGGGATGAGTCTTGATAATCGGTGTAAATTTGGTTATGGCAAAATAAAAATGGACAAAAAATATAAAGATGCAATCTACAGAGTGAGAAATATCAATGGCTAGTAAAATGTGAAAGATGATCATTTTCTCCACTGATCAGGGATATGCAATTTAAACCCACAAAGAGATATCACTTTCCAACATCATATCGATTTTTTAAAAATTTTTAAATACTAATAGAGGAACCAGCTTGACAATGGAAACTACTAGCCAATATTGGGACAATTTTAGCATCAAAAAAACAATGAACTATAATTGATTGAAACGTGTTAACTATATAAAAAAACTATGAGTCCATGTGACTTTTCTTTTTTAAGTAAGAGGAGTAAAACAAGCAAAGAAATAAATAACTTCTTTGCAGGTGGCCATTTTTTTTACCAAGTTCTTATTCTTATTTTTCCTTTGCAGTAGGAATTGCATCTCTGTGTAACCTAATAGTGCTAGTCAATGAGGAAAAGCCCTTCCTTCTAGAAAAATGCCAGCTATAAATGTGTACAGGACTGGAAAACCACAATTTACAAACCCTAAGGAAATTATTAAGCCAAGAATTATCAATGAATGTTGAAATCATTAGGTAAAATGATGGAGAGCTGGATATTCACCTGGTGCCAAAGTTATCACCCCGCAGGTTGCCAGCTAGTTCCAAGACGACTGTCACCACATGAACCCAGTGGTCAATCTTAACATCATCACTAATAAGATAACCAGAGCTTCATTATGTGACTCCAGGTGTGATGCTGTGTTTAGCCTTAATCTAATTAAGATTTTAGATCCAAGGTCCAATAATAGAAAATATGAGGGTGATTGTTAAATGACAACACAAGGAAGCTATCGGGAAAATTCAGAAAATGGGACATTCTAGAGAATAATTATCCTGGTCTTTGCAAGTCAATATCATAGAAAAAATAAAAAGCTGGGGTGGGTGTGAGAGGGAGATGAGGAGGGACAGGAAAGGGAGTGTCCATTCTAGATTAAAAAGCTTCAGACACCCAACAGTTAAATGCAATCATGGTTCTTGATTGGATCTTAATACTAAACAAACTTGCTGCAAAAGACATTTTGGGAACAAGTAGGGGTGTGTCGATATTATTGCGATTATGTAGGATAGTGTTCTTATTTAGATATACATATCAAAATATTTAGGAGTAAAATGCCATGATATCAGTATTTAATAGTTCAACAAAAAAAAGGTGAAACATATGACAAAATGCTAAAATAATCATTAAATCTAGGTCATAGATATGTTCGTTATACTATTCTCTCTGCATTTCTGTACATTTATAATTTTTATAATAATTATAAAAAGCATTTTTAATATCTAGCATTTGTGAGGGTTTGAGGAAACAGACCATTCCATACAAATTGTTGGTTGGAGTATAAATTGGTATAACCTTCATAAAGGACAATTTGGAATATATAAATTTTATTTTAAAATATACATACCCTTTGTCATAGTAATCCCATCATCAGGAATCTATTCAATGACTCATGACACAAGTATAGAAGATGTATATATAAGGAAGTTTATTATAGCATTATTTACAATATAAACAAATTTGAGACAATAGGGAAATAGTTAAATATATTTTGATGATACATTATATATTATCTATGACAAAGAATGCCATGTTACTATTAAAAAGAACAAAGTTAAGTGAATAATTACTGTATTGGTTTGCTAGGGCTGCCATAAGAAAGTACCACAGACTGGGTAGATGGCTTAAACCACAGAATTTTTTTCTCACAGTTCTAGAGGCTAGAATTCTGAGACAGGGTGTCAGCAGAGTTGGTTTCTTCTGAGGCCTCTCTCCTTGGCTTGTAGATGGCTATTTTCTCCCTATGCTTTTCTCTCTCTACCCATCTATATGGGGCCACACTAATAAATGACCTCACGTAAACTTATTTATGTCTTTTAAGATCCTATCTCCAAATACAGTCACTTTTTGAGGTATTGGTAGTTAGGACTTCAACATGTGAAATTTGGGGGTGGGAGGGCTACAATTCAGTCCATAACTTTTACTGCCATGGAAGGATGTTCATGATTTTTAGGTTTGAAAAATCAAGGAGCAGAACAACATGTACAGCATGATACCCCTTTTTTTTCAAAATTAAAAAACAATAAAAACAATTCCTCTGGTACACGTTTACATGCAGTTGGGGGTATATTAAAAACATTCTGAGAGGAGAGATTCCTAGCTGTTAATACCTGAGGAATAAAATGGGAGTTAGGGATAAAAGGGAGGAACAGATTCTCTCTCTCTCTCTCTCTCTCTCTCTCTCTCTCTCAACAAACATCATTTACTTTTGTAATCGGAAATTTTTAGCTTAAAAAATACAGCTACAATGTAAACCACCACCCCCTCCCTTGAAAGAAAGTGTCCTTATTGAAATGGAGCTTGGGCATTGGCATTAAACCCCAGGTAGATTCACAGAGAAAGGAGAATGAGAAGAAAAACAACTAAACTGATCCTCCTCCAATACCTTGGCACCACCTTAAGCTTTAGGGAGGGGGAGATGCAGAATGACTGATTGTCTTTGTCTGCCAGCTCACACGAATGAGACGCTCAGGGTCAAAAATTAAGTTAAGCGTTAGAAAATAAGGTGATATTTCTTGCACATCTGATTTTTGGACCGAAATTCATATGGTTATGTGTAACCTAATTTAATTTTCTTGCAATCCTATTATCTTCATTTTACAAATGAGGAAAGGACTTGTTAAAGTTAATTTTCCTGAGGTCACATAACTAGTAAGTAGCAAAACTAGAACTCAAATCTGAATCTCCTCGCCCTGAAACCTGTGCTAGCTACTATTTTGTGCTACCTGAAATAGGTTTTGCCTTCTCCTTACCACCTGCACCTAATCCTGTTCCCAAATCTTGCTAGTTTAGGTAGCATTCCCTTCTCTAGGAAGGCACTATTCAGCATCCCCTCCTCTCCAGTTTAGATGGCCCTCTTTAGGCCTTCCTAAATTTCCTGATCCCATCTGTATTACAGACCATATTCTATTTTAATAATCTCTGTATATGTTTGTTCTCTTCCACTAGACTGTGAACTCTTGAGGGCAAGAGTTAAGTATCTCCCATGTCTGACACACATTAAGTGCTTTTTTAGTTCTGCAACAATAATATCACTCGTATTTGATTTTTCCTCACTAAACTCTGAACCTCATAAGGTTAAAGGATACATCTGGTTTTACATACCATTAAATCACTGGAGCCTAACACAGGACTTGGCACGGACTAGGCTTTCAATAAATACTTTTGAATAAATGAATAATTCTATAAGTAATCTCCATTCACTGTGTGACTCTCAGTCATATTCCAAGAAAAAGCAGCATTCTCTTGTAATGATTTAGTATTTAAAAATATTTCTACATTTCAACATTTTAAAATTCGTTATTATTTTCTGTTTTCGTCCTCGCACCCACATGGATCATGATCACCACTATTGTGAGATTTTGATTCAGTCTTGCATTTACTCTGCTATTTCAAACTGCTAGGGATTCCTTTCAACTGCCAGAATGTCATGAATGGGGAGGTACTTAGAGGTGAAGTGAACAGTTAGCCTCCAATTTACAAGCTTGCTTTTCCCTGGGATAATTGTAACGTTACACGTTCCTAGATGTGATCCTATCACGACAGACTCTCCTCAACGAAAGGACTGATGACGTTTAACTATGACTAATTAAGGATGTGGGACAATGGAAGACTTTAAATAGTATTTGCTAGGCGAGGTTGTGATCTTTTGAAAAATATGTAATATAGGCTCTCATTAGAGAAACAAGAAAAATATGACCCAAATGACCTTCCAATCAGTTTGCCTAGATTAACAATTCCACTAGGAAGGGGACCAAAAGCTCTTCCCAACCGCCAGAAGCCCGCTCCCCTGTGGGCAGGACCAGGGGAGCCTCCTGCGACCCAAGGAAGGAGGGGGCGGGGTCGCGGGCGGGTCCAGGCCTACAGGGGCGGGGCCTCAGCGGGCGAGGGGCAGGCTGGGAAGCGGCGCCATATTGGCGTCGGCCGCGCTGTATTGTCATAAATAGAGCCGGTTTTGTGGTGTTTTCACTACTTGGTTGGATGCCTCGGCCGTAGTAAGTGAGGAAGTGGGCGAGCAAGCGACCTACAGGCGACCGGAGGAAAGGGGACAGGGCCAGAAGGGAAGAGCAAGAACGGGACTCCAGAGCGAAAGACACTCGCCGGTGAGGGAGACGCAGGAAGCGATGAAAGAAACATCTGCGTAAGTGGTAGGGGGCGGCGGTTGGGGCCGAGGCAGAGAGGGGTGGACTAGGGTGGTCGGCCTGGGAGGTCGGCCCGGGACTCCGTTTCCGTGTCCTGCCGGGACCTCGTTTGAGTCGTCTCCTTCCCGGCTCCGGTCCGGTCGGCAAGGGCACCTCCCCTACACCCGGCGGCTCACCTGGCCACCTACAGCACTGACTCGGGGACTCCAGGAGTCCCCATCTGGCCTCGGCTGTCCCGCCCCCGAGGACGCACCTAGACGAGGATGCGGCAGGAGAGAGGCAAGTGTGTCCGTGGGGAGAAATTGTCGGGTCACTCTCCTGCCTTCAGCAACGTCTGAGCCGGTCTCCGCTCCTGTCTGCATTGGCGCAAATACCATCCCCCTCCTCCCTTCCCGACCAGCTGTCTCCAGGTCTTCAGGAGTGAATGACCTATCCCAGCTCGCTTCTTTTTAGTAAAGACTATGGTCTTTTCGCCCTCCCCCGGCCTACCCACAGCATACCTACCGGTCTATACCTCCTGCTCACACTTTGATAAGTCAGAAACGGTTTCCGCGCTTGTTGGAAGATTTTGTTGTAGCTTCTTACGTTTTGGTTTATTAGGAAATAATGTAAACATGCAGAAAAATGCAGAAAATAACATAAGCAGCATTTGTGTAGCCACCATCCGTCTCTCCCAAAGCATAACGTGTGTGTGTGTGTGTGTGTGTGTACGTGTACACACATACCTTTATTTAGAAGAAATCATGCATTCCAGATACATCAGAAGGATTCTTCTACCTCCTGATCTGGTCCCATTTGTCTCCTTCCCCTGAGTTCCCCACAGTGGTGAATTTGAAAACATGCAATAAAGCTGCATGTTTTTTAATGCTACTGCTACATATGTATGTGTCCATAATAACTGACATTGTTTTTAAGCTTTATATAACCAGTATTACCCTCGTCTTTCTGCAACTTGCTTTTTAATGCAACAGTATCTTTGAGCTTTGTCCATGTTGATACTTTAGCTCTAATTAATTCATATTAACTACAATGTATTCCATTGTAGGGATACACTGTAATTTAATTCTTTTCCTGTTAGTGACTATTTTAGGTTGTTTCTAAGCTTTTAATATGACGGCGTGGCAGTGACCATTCTTGCACATGTCTTCTTGTACACTTGTACTGGAATTTGTCTAACATGCCTACCTTTAAGAAAAATTTGTGGGATGAAGGGAATGTGGAATTCTGTTGCTTGCTTTTTTTTTCCCCCCCTGTCTAGATGAGAGAGGTTCAGAACCATAGATTTGGAATTTTGATGCTAGTAGAGGACTAGATGCCCAATTTTTTCAGCATACAGATAAAGTGTGACCAAAGATCATCATTAGTGTCAGAGCTGAAGTAGTTATGGAAGAGAGAAGGGAGTGGTGGAAAGATCTTGGGTTTTGGAGTTCAGATTCTGGCTCTTCCTCTTCTTATCTTTTTGGATCTTGGGTACATATCTGTAAAGTGGCACTTATTCAATACCTACCTCTCAGGGTTATTGTTGATGTTAATTGAATGATCAGGTATAATTAGTCCCATCCGCTTACCATACACATATGAACACAAATAATACCAAAATGCCTCTTTAGCTCTCTTAGAGGTAAAAGAGCTAACTCTTTAAAAAGAAGTTACAGCTTGAAATAACTAATTGAAATTTTGTTTATTCTACACCAAAATGAATACCAGGAAGAAATTAAAGTCACTAGTATTGGTGTTTTTCTTTCATCTCTTTGAGTCATTTTGGGAGGTATAGAGACTATTTTATCTTTCATTTGACTATCTCTTCCTAATGAAATCTTTAGTCGAAGAGTGTGTGATAAGCCAATGTTCTGACCAGTTAAAACTAAAAAAACAATCAATTGTATTTTTGTGTTGTTGTTTATAAGGCTAATTTATTCATTTAAAAGACTGCTCTTTGAGATTACATTCTTACTATAGGTATTAATGATCCTTCATGAAAAGATGGCAAAAATAGTTGATAGGGTTAGTTGATTATTGTGTATGTTTGTCTTTCTTAGCATAATTAAAAGTTTTACCAACCCATGTTGGAATCAAATTTTATTTTGAAATTATTGGCCTGTGAAAGTCCAAAATCTCAGAAATTCTGTTGCACTGTATTCAAGACTACAATTTCCTAATGGCTAGAATCTTTTCGAGGGTGACTTTTATCCTATAAAGGGTTGTCATTTAGTGTAAAGAATTTGATAATTATTCAATGTGAAAATGGGTAGCAGTCTAAATAAAGGAACAATTAACTAGAGTCACAAAATATTAAGACTATAAACTCTGATTCAAGTAAAGGATGTTAATTTAGGTGTCTCAAAGACAAATCTAGTTGTGATTTCTTTTTAAAAGCCAGAGTATTTCACAAGGACCTTCTAATGGGATGCTTTTGTTTCTTTGGTGGGGGTGGGGAAGGGACATTGTTTTTACTCAGATCTGTCTTTTAAGTAGCAGACTGCTTTTCAGAGATTGAATCTAGATGGTACTTCACTTAAGTCTGCAGGGTGTAGTGGAGGTGGCTCTGGCCCAGCTCCCATTCAAGTTCTTTGCATTTGTGTTGAGTAGTATTGGCACAATTGTCCTGATGCCAACACGTGCTGCTTTTGGCTTGAAAAGACATCCTGACCATGAAAACTGGAGATAGTATAAATAGACTTTCATCAACATACACAAAATACCCTTTTTCCCTTTTTAAAAAAAATGCCTGCCTGGACTGTTATAAGTGAACTTTTAAGATAGCTAAATTAATGAGTGGATTGAGAGATTTGGGGTGTTAGTATGATATCATACTTTAAATTTTTTCTGCTGTTTCATTTTTCTTGAACAGAAATACTGTGTTGGACAGCCAGCGTCAACAAAAGCATTATGGAATCACCTCTCCAATTAGCTTGGCATGTCCTAAAGAAATTGATCATATTTATACACAGAAATTAATCGATGCCATGAAACCATTTGGAGTATTTGAAGATGAGGAAGAATTAAACCATAGGTATGTCACTTAAAAGTGCAAAATATTTTACAGTACATTATTTAATCATTAATTTTGCATACATGTATCAAGTACCTACTTTGTCCCTGCCTAGAGATTTAAAAAGAAAAAAAAGGGCAAAATAAAGAGACATCTTGGCCCTCCTGGAGCTTACATTTTAGGTGGAAGTTAGGGAAGGAGACTAACATTTAGCCAAATAAGTAAAATAAATACAATATTACACACAAAGAGTGCTGCTGAGAAAAATAAAGCTGGGAGTGGAGGTTGTCAGAGAAAGTCTTCATTGACATTTGAGGGAAAATTTGAAGATAAAGGAAGGAGTTATGTGGATAGTTGAGGAAGGAGCATTCTAGGCAGAAAGCTTGAGGTGGGGGTGTACCTGCTATATTTAAGGAAGATAGAGCAAAGTAGCTTGGATATCTGAAGCAGAGTACGTAACGGGAATATGGGCTTAAAGTGAGGTGGAAAGGAGTATGGAGGACAAAGTCACTTAGGATATTGTAGGCCATTATAAAAGTTTTGGCGCTTACTCTGAGTGAAATGGGAGGCTATTAGGGTTTTAAGCAGAAGATCGACATGATATAGTCATGTTTTAACACAGTTACTCTGGCTGCTGTATTGAGAATAGTCTGAAGAGGGGTCATGGATGAACTGGGGAAACTAGTTAGAAAGCTATTATGATAATCCAGGAAGAAAATGATAGTAGCTGGAACTAGGGATGGCAGCAGAGGTAATAAGTGGTAGAATTCTGGATGTATTTTAAAAGTTGGTTTGTTTAATAACTGGAATGTGTGAGAAAGAAAGGAGAAGAGGGGGGTCAAGGGTAATGCCAAGGATTTTGTCTCAGCACCTTGAAGGATGGAATTCCATTACTTGGGGAAGGTTGAGGGAGAAGCAAGTTTGGACAGATCAGGAATTCAGTTTTTAATGTTATTTTTAATATGTCTAAAGTCTGTTTTTTCCTCTCTTTTTTAATATGGATTTGGCTATGTCATTGGTTGCAAATTTAATATCAAATTGCTTTTATTAAGTAATATTTCATAAAAATCATCTAATAATTTACCCATTTTAATTATCCAAAGACCTTTGACTCTCGATGAGAGAATGCTATTCTCTGTTATTATCACATTGAATTGATTTTATTACATACTGAAGCTAAAAAAGTGGATAATTTATTTGGCCTTTGCAGCCTTGTTGAAGGTAATTTTGACTTCTTATTAGGCTTTTTGAATTTTGAGAATAGCCCAAGTACTGTTATCACATTTATCGTCTCTTTGGAACTCTTAGGGATCTAAGAATGCCAAAGAGATGTGCCATGTATCAACAGATGTGATAGCATTAACGTGTATAATATGCTTTTACCCAAACATCAACACAAAGGTACTGCCTATATGTTTAATTACTTTTTAAAATACTGTTTGTTTGTTTGGTTTTCAATCTAAAGCATGCCATTTTTTATTATAGGCTGGTTGTTCTCGGTAAATTGAACAATTTAGTAAAAGAATGGATTTCCGATGTCAGCGAGAGTAAGGTAAGACTCTAAACTACATTGAAGTCATAGTTCTGTTACATTCTGGTCCTGGTAATAAGATACAGGATTCGAGAATAATCCGAAATACATTAAAACTGGCTCTTTGATATTCTTGGTAATGTACTGGTATAGATAGTCGAGTCTCTAAATAAATGAAGATTTACCCCAGAGGTAGCCAGTGTCTAGCTACAGTTCCACATGAATGTCTTGCTTGACTCACATGTACTAGACAACAATTTAAGTATAAAGAGATTTTACTTAAAATCCAGATTTCATACTTCTTATGAAATATCAGGTCTGGCAATACTGGGCCTGGCCTGCCTTTGTGGAAGGCAGGAAGAGGCTTGAATGGAATTGGGCTTCTGCCTTCCAGGAATTCCTTGTGGCTTCCACCACTCCCTGCTTTCTCTGAGGCCAGCGTCCATCATTTATCAGTCAGTTTCTGTGTTTTTTTATGTGTACTTGCCTCATTTGTATATCTGCCTGGCCCCTGAGACTTAAGAGTTTGCAAACCCTAGTTTATACTTTATATACCTTTTTTCTCTTGCAGTAGCTTAACTGTTTTTCTTCTAAAATTGATTACATTTTCTTGTTGGAGCATTTTGAATATAATTGAATTTTCATTGTCTGAGAATCATCACAATGAATATTTTACTGGCTCTACTAAAATGAGCTAGGGCATGTTCACCTTGGTGGTTATTTGTGTCTTTTGACTAGCCCAAACCGTTGTATTTTAAGTTCTTTGTTTTTTTATAGTTTTCCCAACTCTTAACAGCAGTCAACCAAAAGTTAATGTCTCACAGCAGTCATCTTGTCTTTCTGCAAACTCCCTCATGCCTGTTAATCTGCATGAGTTTAGAAATTACATAAATAATTGTTAGACTTCTTTCTTTTACAACTTTTATTTCTGTACCTGTGATGTATTTTTAAATTTTTTTTTTAATTAAACCTGAATAAGATTATGAAGGACTCTATTAAATCTATCTATAGTCATTGAGTTTAAACAAATGGTCTTTATGCTATTTACTTTTGCTGTCAAACTGGCTCATTTCAAAGCTCTCAGCAGGGTTATCAACAGTTGAGGTTTTCAGATAAGTTAATTCTGAGCAGGTAAAATGCTAGTCGTGAGTAAAAAAAAATTCACATTTGTTTTCTACTACTAGGTGATCAGCTCTTTAAGAAAAGACCTTTCTCATTCACCTGCACAACCCCAGGACAGGAGTCAGGCATTAATGTTAGGGGAACCTGTTGTCCCTGTCTTAATCAGCTCGTAATTGCAATGGATGTGCAGATCAAATGCCTAACTTGCTAGAATTATTTTAAAATCAAAGTGACAAGCTATATGATTTCTTGTGTGTGGTCTTTATGTCAACTATTGTAGTTGTGCAGAGGTCTTTGCATCCACCCCTACTTAAGGATGCATTCAAGATAAGTCATGTGTTGTTATTTGCAAAAAGAGGCTAGATTAGTTTGTTGCGAGATGAACCTAATTTTCTTGGTTCTTTTGCACGTAAAAGAAAAATCCAATAAAATTCTGTTCCAAGGTCAAAAGGTTTTTTAAAAAGAAATTAATAAAATTGCTTTTTATCTCGTTTTAATCACATTAGTGCTTTAACCCACAAAAACCTGTAGCTGGTTTCCATTTAATTTCTATGCATAAAACCATTGTTAAAAATTTTAAACTATGCCACAATTTGGCTTTTTTTTTTTAAAGCAAAGTAAATAAAATATCTAATTATAAAAAATTTAAATTGGTTTTAACATCTTCCATTGTGTTAAAGTAATTGGTCATTTTCCGTATCAATTATAATTTCCTTTCATTTATGCATTTTAGTTTGGAAAATAGCTGAAGGATTCGAGTTAGATCAAAGATCATTTGAATATTCTAGACACAATTGGGATATTTAAACAGTCTAGAACTCAGATCAATTCATCTTAGTTAAATACTATGGTTTGTGGCCAAAAAAAAAAAAAATTGTTTTTACTCAGTGATACAATGTGACACTTTCTCATAAATCATGCAAGAATCATGTTTTCCAAACTAGGAAAGCGAACTGAAAAGCCCTGGCTTCTCCTTTTGATTCATATTAGTTATCAATAAATGTACTGACTCCTTTCTGGCAATAAAATTATTTGTGATACCCTTGAAACGTTAATATCCATTAAGTAGAGGAAATAACAATATTCTGTTAATACAGATACTTTTATTCAAATTAATCTGTGCATATTCTTTGGAACTTGCACTGGGCATTATGGGAAAATAAGAGAAGTAGGAGACACAGTTCTCACCTTCCAAGGAATTTAAATATAGTGAAGAGATAGAACTTACAGAAAAAGAAAAGTCACTAAATATAGTATGAAAGGGGTTAAAGATAATAGTAGAAGAGCACTGAGGGGAAGAAAATCAGAGAAAGCTTCATGGAAGAAGTGGAACTTGAAGTGAACTTTGAAAAATAAATGGTATTGAAATACCCAGAGAGGATGAACAAGCATTTGAGGCAGGGAAAATAGCAAATGCAATGGGAAGGAGACTGGATTATATAACATGTTGGCAGTTGGCTCTTCAGAACAGACGAGCAGGAGATTAGGCAAGAAAGATCCATAAGCGTGTTGTGAAAATCCTTAGGTTCCAAGCATCCTTACTTCAGTCAGGGAAGAATGCATTGGCAAGTTTTGAACATCAGCCAGTGCTTTTTATACAAAATGGAGTAGGAGAACATAAAGACTAAGGGCAAGAGGATAGCTTTATGATATTATTAAATAGCCTAGAATTACAGGGGGTATGGGTAGTTGAATAGAAAGGAAACTACATGAGGGGTATAAACGAAGAATTAGTAAGCCAAGAAGAATACTAATGACTATAGATATGGGCAGTAAGGAAAATGAGGAACAGAAATAGAGAAATCAGGAGGGATACTTGGTTTATCATAGGAAGAATTTTTTGTTTGTTTCAGGCATCGATACTGAAGTAGATCAGAATGTCTAAGTGAAAATATCTGATGGGCAGTTAGAATTGGCTAGAGAGAATTGAAAAGTAGCATTATAATTCTGGTGCAATAAAAAGATGTTAACTAAAGTTGTATTAGCACTCATAAGAAAATCGTATCAAGAATGACCCACTTTCTCGCAGAACGGTTGCAGAGCTAGAATCAAGAAATTAAGCGCATCTGTCACAAAAACCAAAGAAAGGGAAGATGGGATTAGTCAAGAGTATAATACTATAGAGAGCCAAAAGTGTATTAGTATAATAAAGTTGCTTGGTGATCATTGAGAATGATGGAGCAAAAGACAGTAATTGGAGGGGGCAGGTGAGGTCAAGTAACTGTTTTTAAGATAGAGATGTGTGCATGTGTAGTGGGCATGATTTGTTTTTTCTTCCCTCTGGGAATACCCTCATTACTTCAAGCTGCAAAGAGCTCTAAGTCTCAGCTTACCAAAGCTGACAGATATAGTAAATATTTGTAATATTTAGGCAGTTTTTTATGCTAAATAATTTGAACAATTAAATGCCTTTTGTTTAATTTTATTTTAGAATCTCCCGCCTTCTGTTGTGGCTACTGTTGGTGGTAAAATTTTCACATTTGGCTCCTATAGGCTTGGAGTACACACCAAAGGTAACTGCTTTTCTGTGTTCTACTGATAAGAACTTTCAATAACAAACTTATTTGTTTATAATTTAAAAATACAAAGAACAAATTTCCATTATCTCACTGCTCAGAGCTCATCATTGTTAACATTTTCCTATACTCATATACTTTCTTGTGTACATATGTTTCTGTGTACTTTAACAAAATATAATACTTAATATACTCTTCTTGATAAAAAATACTTTGATTTGCAGGAGCTGACATTGATGCACTTTGTGTAGCTCCAAGACATGTAGAGAGATCAGATTTTTTTCAGTCTTTTTTTGAAAAATTGAAACATCAAGATGGCATTAGAAATTTAAGAGTAAGTATTCTCTAGTATTTAATATTTTGAATTTGTTAACAAATAGCTGGAAAGCTAGGGCTTATGATTGTTGAAATATTTCTTAAGAAATTGCTACACCTTGTCAAAATAACGGATGATGATTAAGAACATGGGCCTTATAGTTGTACAGATCTGGATTTGAATCTAAAAATCTACAACATATTAGCTCTTAAGTTTTGGTCCAGTTACCAGTTCTCTCTGAGCCTTAGTTTCCTCACTTATAAAATGTAGATGGAGTGAATAATTTTTTTATAAGGTTTTCTGAGAATTGTTGAGATAACTTACATTAAACATTTACTATAATATCTGATCATTGTTAAGGCGTATCAAATGGTGGCTGCTATTATATATAAAGTTCAGTTAGTAGTAACTCTTTATGTGTGTATATCTAGCCATTTATTCAGAAATTAAAATTTCAGCACCAATGATCTATCAGATACTGGCCTTAGTCTCACAAATACAAAAGTGAGCAAGACAGTTTATGGGAGGGAAGAATTGGGAGAACTAACTTGAATGGGTAGTTCTGATACAATCAAGTGCTAGAATAAGATGAAGTTCAAAGGATCTGCGTTATTTGGGTGCATGGCAATTAATCTTAAGTTAAAAATTAGTTTGAGGGATTAAGGAAGACTCAGAAAGATATCATGTCTACTAAACTCAAACTATAGTGACTATTTTTTTGATAGATTAGTCATCAGTTCTAACACTAGTGCTCTCTAAATTATGAGTTCAATTTAATCTCAACAAATAGTAAGTACCCAGATGTTAGCAGTTCTGCCTGCCAGTTCTGATGAATATTTTTAGGAGAATAAGTTAGATAACTACGGTCATAGACATTTTGTGTATCTTAATAAACAGTCACACAGTAGAAGTACTTACCTGGAATGTAACACCAAGAACATTTTCACTTTTTCTGTTGAGTTAAAATACAAACTGGGAGCAAAGGTATTCACATTATTGACAGGAAGGATGGAGAAGGATTACATTTTATATAATTGTTTTCCTCTTTTGTAGGCTGTAGAAGATGCCTTTGTACCTGTTATAAAATTTGAATTTGATGGAATTGAAGTAAGTGTTTAATATTTTTCTGACTTTATAGTTAAACTATTTAACCCGTAAGGTTTTTTTAGTTATTTTTAATCAGACTTAATTAGAAACATTTTAAAGAATTGAATAGTCTTTAAATAGTCCCTCACCTTCCTCTCTCCTAAATCTGTTGACTTCTCACCTTGGAAAATGAACCAGCCTCCATCCCTACCCCCATTCTTCTCATTCCCATAATCTCCTAACATAATTATATCATTTTATTATAATTTTGGTCGGAGCAATATTCAGTGTTTACATTATAATTATCTTATAAGTAATGTTCAAAACTGAGCACAAAGTGTACTAGATTACCATTCTTTGCTGTGTGGCATTTTGTTTTCTTGGGAGTTAATGTTTTGCACTTTGTTTGCATGGGCTTTATGCTTAAGATTAATTCAAATTCAGCCTCTCCTAGTTATCTAAATTGCCTCTAGATTTAGATTTCTCAGGTGTTCTGTAATTATCATCTTGAAAAAATATTTCAGTAAGTCTCCTTACCTGTTCCAATCCATGACTGATATATAGATGTCATCCTGACATCTTTTTTTACTCTCATCCTGAGATTTTCTTTTGTTTTTCTCTAGAGTTTTCTTTCTTGACTCTCATTTTAGTGGCACTTATTCACTAGCTTCCTGAGATATTGCATGTTTAAAAATGTCATTGTTCTGTTCTCACACCAAATTGGTAGTTTGACTGTACTAATATAGAGTTCTAGATGGAAAATAATGTTTCTTAGAATTTTTAAAGTCCTTTCTCATTGTCTTCTAGCTTTTGTGCTATGTTGAGAAGTATGGTGCCATTTCAATTCCTTATCCTTTGTATGTGATCTCTTTTGTCTGTTTGAACGCTCCTATGATTTTTTCCCCTTAGTCTTCACAGTTGTAAAATTCATGATAATACACTTTAGTATGTGTCTTTTCAGCTAGATATGCTAGGCATTGAATAGTCTTCAACTTGAAAACTCCTATCCCTCCGTTCTTGGAAATTGTATTTACTTCTATTGAATTTCTTGCCTTTGTTTTCTCCTTTCAGGAGCTCCTAACATTTGTATGTTGGACCTCCAGGACTCTTTTAATTTTTTAAAAATCTTTTCCCTCCCACATATTAATCACATCTTCATATTTTTATTCAGCTTTTTGTGGTTTTCTCATCTTCCAAACTTTATGTTGTTTTCTATTTGTTACATTTTTAATTTCTAAGCATAATTTTTATTCTCTAAAGTTTCCTTTATATTTATTTATACGTTTACTTACACTCTCTTGTCCTTATTTCCTGGATACAATATTTTTATCTTTGCTTTCTTAGATTTGCTGAGTCTGTTACCACTTGCCCATCTACTTTCCAGCTTTCATAGTTCTTACTGTTATCTCCTATTTTTCTTGTCCTAGTGGGTTATTATGCCTTTAAAAACAAAATAAAAAACAAAACAAAAATTTGCAGGTAATGTAAATGTGTTTTGGATCTGCCGTATTTATCTAGAAATTCACTGATAAGGTTTTGATTTTTTTTTTATAAGGCTTGGCATATATTCTAAAATTAAAATGCTTTCCCTTAATTTGAAAATTTAATTCCCTCCACAGAACTTGTTGGTGATTTTCCCATGTGAAATTGCGTGCATAGGCCTTTTGAAGTTTTGGTAGAACTTCTAAAACTAATAATTACAACTTTTACATTTTTGAGGTAGGGAGTGGGGAGAATGGTCTAGCAAGAGAAAAAGTAATATTTTCTCTTTTTTTTTGCATCTTTCCAAAGATTGATCTAGTCTTTGCAAGACTGGCAATACAAACCATATCAGATAATTTAGATCTAAGAGACGACTCGCGACTGAGAAGCCTTGATATAAGGTGTATTCGCAGCCTAAATGGTAAGCTTCTAAAAAGAAATCTTAGATACCTGCTTGAAAACAATTTGACTAATAGAGATCTTTTTGCAGTACTATTAATGGACTTTTTTAAGGGATTAGACTCAGTTAAAAATAATGATGTGAATTTCTTTATACAGATAATCTGAATACATTTATAAACATTTGAAAAAAATTTTTATTTGAATATTGTTTTTGTTTGTAGTAGTGGTTCTCAAACTTCTTGGTTCAGGACTCTTACATGCTAAAAATGTATTGAGGACCCCAAAGATCTTCTGTTTATGCGGGTTATATCAGTATTTCCCATATTAGAAATAAAAACAAATTTTTAAATATTTATTAACTTTAATTTATTTTAAAATACTAGTAAACCCGTTATAAATGAATATAAATTTTGTATGAGAAAGTTTTTTTTGCATTTTTGCAACTCTTTAATTTTTAACGTAATAGAAGACAGCTAAATTTTCATATCTGCTTTTACAGTCAATTTTTTATAGTATTTTGTTTCGATTGAAGCATAGAAAGAGAATCTGCCCTCTTAAAGATATGTAATTGGAAAAGGGAGGAGTATTTTAATAGCCTTTTCAGATAATTGTGTATATTCTTTCAATACTACACTAAAACTTAACTAGTGACAATTTCTTTTTTTCCCCAGTTTTACTGAGTTATAATTATATACTGTAAAATTCATTGTTTTTTAGGTGTACAGTTCAGAAGTCTTTAGTATATCGAGAATTGTGCACAATTCAATTTTAGAACATTTCATCATCCTCAAAAGATCCCTCATAGCCATTTGCAGTTATTCTCCTTTCTAACCTCTCAGCCCCAGGCAACCACTAATCTACTTTCTGTGTCTATAGATTTGCCTTTTCTGGACATCATATAAATGAGATCATACAGTATGTGGTCTTTTTATCTGGCTTCTTTCACAAACTTAGCATAATGTTTGTGACGTTCATCCACGCTTGTGGCATGTATCAGTAGTTCGTTCCTTTTTGTTCCTAAGTAAAAGTGACTTTTTTAAAGTTAGAAAATCTAATCTAAAACCATATCAATTACTTTTTTGTACTCTATTACATTAAACTCCATTGGTCTGTCTTATTCTTTAAATGGCTTTTTTATCCATGCATGATTCCTTACTATCATGCCTTGGTCACTTGGAAAATACTGGTTTACAAAGTTATTTGGATCTTTTAAATGTTAACTCACATTTCATTATATAGTATCAAAAATAAATCACATTAATATTATCACCATTGTCATCAGAAAAGTCTTTAAGTATTGGAAAGATGTCCAAAATTCTAATTTTTACTTAAATATTTTCCCGTTTGCTCCGAGAATACTCACCAGCAGCACTTGTGGCTGCAGCACTTATTTCACTATAACTTGCGGATTACAGTCCTAACCTTACTCCCAAAGTCTGCCACGAAGTATCTTGCTTTTATTATTATTTTCACATCGCTGTAGTAAATCTATAGTTTCTGGAAACAAATGACATTCTATTTATACCATTCTCTTTTTAGTAGTGGTATTTCTATTTACAAAATATAGTAATTCTCGATTGCTTAAAAATGTCAAGTCCTAGAAAACAGCATTCCTCCATGTGATATTAAATCCGTGCTGGCAGCGAGCTGCATTTTTTTTCCTAAACAAGAAAAGAGTTAAAATTTTATTACTGGCAACAAATTTTGTCATTTGTTTTCCTTGAAGTGAGGGCTCACTTTGTTCTGTTTTTTAGGAAATGGCTGCTAAACACTCAAGTATGAATAACCATAGTTTGTCAGTCATTCTTTCAAGTAAAACTGGTATTCCTTGAAAAAAAAAGCATATTCTTACCTCAAACATGTCCAGACATCCACACATATTCATTTCCTGTTTTCTAACTGAATGTGTGGTGGTAAAATAGATATTGTCTACTTAGAACAGTTTGTTGCCACAGCTTTGATTCACTGCTAAAGTAGCAGTTTTACTCACTACTGCTTTTGCACCATGAGTGCAAATGTTAACACAGTGAAACAGGCAAAAAAAAAAAAAAGAAAAGCCTTAGTATTATTATAAAAATAGGTTTAACCAAACAGATTCCAAGGGTCCGCAGACCACACTTTGAGAACTATTGGTTTGTAGTATCTTTTGTTTAACTGAATCATTGTGTTTTGCTATACTTCCAGGGTGCAACAGTAAATCACAGTATTTGTGGTATTGCATTAAAGCAATAACACTTTTATAACTTGGGGGCATCTGATTAACAGTAAGTCAGATATGGAAGAAAGCAAGATAGGCAGACCCACTGTTTATTTTAATACTGGATTGCATTACTGGTGCCTTTGAATTCTTTAAGCAAAATTTCTCATATTAGTGCTAAATTTCAAATACATAGAGGAAATAAACCATCACATTTTATCTTTGCTATTTTTAGCATTTGAGAGTTGAGGTTAGAAGGGCATTTGAATTAACTGGGTTTTATTGCATAACGAAAAATAAATGCTTTTTCTTTTTCAGGATGCAGAGTTACTGATGAAATTTTACATTTAGTGCCAAATAAAGAAACTTTCAGACTTACCCTAAGAGCAGTCAAATTGTGGGCAAAACGTAAGTATCTGAACTCTTCTATTTTATGTTTGCATTGTAAAATTATAATTTTCAGTTGCTAATGATAGAAGCACACATGGAAACTCCTGAGCCTGTATCTGATACTGGGGGATTAAGGGCCAATGAGTTTTGGAGAAGCTGCTGCTTTTTCAGGTACAATGGTTATGGTGCTCTAATGTGTGACTCTACTTCCTCTCCTCTTGGGTAAAAACTTAAAAGCCCCTGACTTTCCATCTTAGGTTTCAGCCAGGCAGTCAGAATAAGTTAGAACTTGAAGTGTAAAACCCTCACTGGTCTTTGATCTATGGACAAGATCGTCTTACTTATCTTTATCTCCCCATCACCAACAAAGTTTATAGGAGGTGTTCAGTAAATTTATTAAAGGTAGAGCCTACAGTGACAGTTTTAACTTGCTTTTCTTTTTACATTATAACACTCCTTTAATAAAACCTGGAACTACAGTAGGTTATGTGTATGGGATATGGTTCATAAAAGGCCCACTCATGAGCTTGCACAGCATATTTTGTATTATTTGTAACTACATTTAAGTAGTGCTACATTTCTGGCACCAGATTTTACATAGTCTAAAATAGGGTTCTCCAATAAACCTTCCTGTGATGATGGAAATTTTTCATATCCTTGCTGTCCAATGCAGGAACCATATGGCTACTGTGCACTTGAAATGTGCAACTGAGGAACTGAATTTTTAAATTTTATTTAATTTTAATTAAAATTAGCATCTAAAAGATATGTCACACAAAAACTTGTACACAAATATTCATAGCAGCATTATTCATAAGTCAAAAAGTAGAAACCACCAAATGTCCATAAACTGCTGACTAAACAAAAAGTGATATATCCATAATGTATGTTATTTGGTAATGAAAAGGAAGTATTGATGCGTTATAATATATTTGAACATTGAAACTCTTTCTTATGTTGAGTGAAAGAAGCCAGTCAGAAAAGACCACAATTGTACAACCCCATTTATGTGAAATGTCCAGAATAGACAAATCTATAGAGACAAAGTTGATTAGTGGTCACTTAGGTCTGGGAGGTTTGTGGGGAACATAAGGGTGTGACTGTTAAAGGTTTCTTTTTGGGGTGATGAAAATGTTCCCAGAATTGACTCCAGTAATGGTTATACAACTCTGAATATACTAAAAACGACTGAATTTAGTACTTTAAGTAGATGAATCTTATAGTATGTGAATGATGTCTCAATAAAGCTGTTAAACTACTCCCCCCCCCAAATAAAAAAAAATAGCCACATATGACTTGTGGCTACCATACTAGACACTGCGAATCTAAAAAGATCTTAAGCAAATAAAATTTATCCTTTGGCTCAGTTATCTTTCATAATCGGGATAAAGTAATTTTCAGTGGGGGGATATAAACAATTTGTCTTAACTTACAGATTAAATTAAATACCATGTTGTGTTAATTCTTAGATGCATATTTTTCACATTTAAAATCTGAAATTGATACTTTATATTTTTTTCTCTTGCTTAATAGGACTTAAAATCATGCTATGTTGTCTAATTGAGAGCATCTTGGGTTTGATGAAATATGGTAATGCTTTTTTATAAATTGCTATAAGAAGCAAACCATATGAGAAATGAGTATTATCAGTAGTGTATTGTACTTTATAGAGAGGTATCTAAATTATGTGAAATACTGAAGTTAGTCCCCACCTTTACACTCGATTTTAAAATGCCCATGAATATGATTACTAATGAAATACTTATTCTTCTCTAACTTATAGACCCTCCAGATATCTTTCTTCCTTCTTTTCATTTCTCTTTCAACCATAGCTATTGAAAGGTGGGAGATTCCAATGTTATATCAGTAGAGCCCAGTTGGGCAGTCAGAACTGAGGCAGAGAACTGAGGTGTCTGTATTGGAGGGCAAAGCAGGGGATAAGGAGAGCAGCTAATAATTTACTAAGAACTCTGTGGGCCTAGTATTAAGGTCTGCGCATTGATTTTAAGGGAAGAGTTCTAAGCAACAATCTTAGGAGGCAGTATTTGTGGTTGAATGACATGGATAGTAGATCCTAACAATAATTAAGAAATGTATTAATTTTCTAGGACGTGGCATATATTCCAACATGCTGGGATTCCTTGGTGGTGTCTCCTGGGCAATGCTGGTTGCAAGAACTTGCCAGTTATATCCAAATGCAGCAGCTTCTACTTTAGTTCATAAGTTCTTTTTAGTTTTTTCCAAGTGGTAAGTATTTATATGCATACTTTCACTATTTACTAACCTCCACCTATATGTAAATTTGCTTGGAAATTTAAGAGCTATGCATAGACTTTTTCTGTTTGTTGTCCTACATTCCTTTTTTAAGTTAAAATTTAAAAATATCAAAATTGGGGCAATGAGGGAACATTAGATGGCACATTCTTCTAGGGGTAACCTGTAAATGTGCTCCTTCAGCTTGAGAGAAGTTGCAATAGATTTGGTTCTGCCAACTACTACCTATATAGAGGTTAAGATCTGCCTCATGTGTAAAATGGAGATAATCATAGCTACTACATGGATTTGTTAGTATTTTAAGTAAATAATAGCTGTTGCTGTTATTAAATTCAGTTAAATCCATGAAAGCAAATGAGAAAGGAATGAAAAATTCAGATTTAAATTAGTTACAGCTAATGGGCAAAGCAGTATTTGCCCTTTCAGAGAATACTGCTTTAAAACAGCAACTTTTTCCTTTGTTTCCCATTTCTTTTTTTTTTCAATACGAAATAACCAAAACATTTGCTGTATGAAAGTTGGAACAAAGTAATAATTTTAAGTTCTTGAAGTGAGGTCCTATGTCAGTTAATTTGTTTTATTCTTGTTAGGGAATGGCCAAATCCTGTGCTACTGAAGCAACCAGAAGAAAGCAATTTGAATTTGCCTGTTTGGGATCCTCGGGTACGTGACTTCTTATAGAATTTTATTAAATCTTTTATGTAAAGGACAATTCTCTAAATTACAGTCTAGTGAAAGATAATTCCTCTTATGCCTGCTCATCTTCTTTCTGTGTATAGTCCTATCCCTTCCTGTGCTGTGTTTTATGGTGTAGATGATGTGTATCTCCAATCATGATCCAAATGTTACATCAGTTAAAATTACCCATGTAAGACTAGATGTGGGTATGTCAACCAAAATATCATAATTCATTGTTAAAAACTGTCTTACAAGTAATTAGTTACTAATAATAAAATACTGAAGTATATAAAAGATATGTTTTGCAGTGTAATTTAAAGCAGATTCATGGTTCAAAGATAACATAACTCTCACTCACTTTGCATTTTAATTTGCTTGTAGAGTGAGTGCTCATTTCTCTGAGTAAACCTAAGGAAGTCATCCACTGAGTAGATGCAAAAAGAGGATTGAGAATCATTGTACTACATAATGCTTTTTGAGGCTATATGATACTGTATTTCCTTGGTTCTAGAAGACCATTGTTTATAAAATAGATATACCATCAATTTAACAGCTTTTCAGGGGAAAATAAACTTCTTCAGCGTTTCCTTTGACTTTGACTATCAGTCACATTTGACTTCAGAAATAAACGTAGGTGGGAAGGGGAAATGTACTTCTTAGAATTGAGGAAATGTAGTTTTAAATTTATATTTCATATTCTTCAGACTTTTGGGGAAATGAAGTGAGGACAACTGAAATAGGAGAATAGATCTATTATTCTGCTTCTAATTTCACAGGTAAATCCATCAGATAGGTATCATCTCATGCCCATAATCACCCCTGCCTACCCACAACAGAATTCTACGTATAATGTGTCCACATCAACTCGAACAGTAATGGTAGAAGAATTTAAACAAGGTAAACCTGTTGGTCCTATTGCCCTTTACATATTCCCACAAGTTTTTGGTTGACAGCAATTTTATTCTCTGCAATATTGCAGTTATGCCTATTATTTCCTAAAATTCTTTCAAATGTGTATTTTTTCAGTAAATGGTTTTCCAAAATACATGATAATATTAAGGCCAGAAATGGAGCCAGCCCAATCTGGTTGAAATTGATTTTTGTGTTCTGAAAAAGAACATAGTAAATATATATTTTTTACTCAAGAATTTGGTGGGATTAGTGGTTTGGGTGTAGGGTGAAATAGGGGCTGATAATACTATGGTCAGTGTTGAAAATCATTCCCTTCTTTTTAATTAGGTCTTGCAGTCACAGGTGAAATTCTTCAAGGGAAATCAGACTGGTCAAAACTACTTGAGCCACCAAATTTTTTTCAAAAGTACAGGTATTTGAAATTTTGCATTTTGTGTGTGTGTATGTGTGTTTAAAGAAGGAGAATGTTAAACTTACAAAGTTTATTATAATAGGTGACAGTTGTCACTTATATTTCAAGTGAGGTAGAGAATAGGCTAGCAGAAATCCTAAGCGATGAGAGTTTCTATATTCTAGTAGTACCTAACCCCCTGTTAGTGGTTTTTGTTTTTTTGCTTTTAGTGAATTGTTTTTAATTGCAGGGTCTGGAATTAATTTTGTGAAAATCAGAGCATGTTTTAATTTTCATAAACTGTGTGCCTGTATTAGCTTTTTTGTTCACTAGGAGGGAGAAAGAAAAAGCAATGATGAAAAAGCAGACACTAACAATGTTTCTGGCTTTTTTTTTTTCTGATTATTGCTGAAAATTCTTCATAGACATTATATAGTATTGACTGCCAGCGCATCAACAGAAGAAAACCATCTAGAGTGGTAAGACTTATATTTCAAGTTCTCTACCTACTGTGTGGTGATAACATGTTTATGTGTTGCTTTACCATTTATAAAACATTCTCCATTTTTTATTAAGTCTTATTGGTGACTGTTGCACATGACCATGGAGCATCAGTGTTTTAGAAATGCCATCATATTAATGGTTTCAGAATCAGAATTCACACAAGATAAGGATATATGTACAAGATCTTTGCCTTTCGTCGTTTCTTAGAGTCAATTTAAATTATTCTGATACCTTGCCTCTTACTGAGTTTTCCATCCTTGCCATCATGTTTTTCCCATCAAACTTGAAGGAAAAGACATTTTATCCATTCTTTTAGGGGATGGTGGTATGAAAGGTTTTAGAATTTTAAGCTTCTGCCAACAGAGAAGAGAACTTTTGGTCAAGGAGTGCTGCATTCTTTCTAGTGCATCTAAATTTATTTCTTCTGCCTCTAATGTACTGACATCCCTAACTCCATCAGGCAGAAGCTTTTAGGCCACCAGAGATGGTTGCGCTTTCCTCAGGTCTGACTTCTGGAAAAGGAAAACAGAACAATCCTGTCTTATTTTTGCTTCAAGAATTTAATGCTTATTTCATTGATAATTAAAGGGACCCTGAAAGAAACCTTTCACTGCAACAGTATTTCATCTATCTAGATCAGGGGTCAGGAAACTATGGTCTAGGCCAAATCCAGTCTCCTGCCTGTTTTTATAAGTTTTATTTGAACATAGCCACACTCACTGATTTATGTATTGTCTACAGCTGTTTTCCAACTACAAGGCAGAATTTGAACAATTGCAACAGAAATGGTGTAGTTTACAAAGCCTAAAATATTTATTATTTGGCCCTTTACAGAGTCAGTTGGCCAGCATGCAGTTATAATGTGTATGCTTTTTCAAGTGTTTAAAAAATGTAAAAATGTTCTTGTAGTTATTCTTTCCAATAAAATCATTAAGTTATCATAACTGACAGCACTCACATTTCTTAAGTGAAGTTGAAAAGTTGCAGAAATCTGATGAAACTTTCTATATTTTAGTAGCATCTCATCTGCTTTTAGTGAATTACTTTTTAAATGCCATAGCTAATATCAATTTTGTGAAAAACAGCGTATTTTATTAATTAAGTGCCAATTATTGGCCTTTGGATCACATTATTTAAGCATATCTTAGCCTTAAGGTTTAGACAAAATTTGAAAGTGCAAAAATATTTTTATTTTGAAAATGCAAAAAGATTTTGAACCAGATTAACCAACAGTTTTTGTTCATGCTCAATCATGAACAAACAGGCAGAGAATTTTGGATCAAGAATGCATTAAATAGATCAGTTCTTTTTTAAAAAGATGGAGAAAACAGAAATTCAGTAACTTGTCATTTACTTGAATGTTATTTTAAAGAGTCACTAATATATTCAGACTGAACTTTTATCATAGCTGATACACTGGTTTACTTGGATGTAGCTTCCAAATTTAATATGGAAAAATCTTGTCCATTGTTTTATTTTAGGGTTGGATTAGTAGAATCTAAAATCCGAGTACTTGTTGGAAACTTGGAACGGAATGAATTTATTACACTTGCTCATGTAAATCCCCAGTCATTTCCAGGAAATAAGGAACATCATAAAGAGTAAGTTAATTATTTTTTAATATTACAATTCTTAAATAATGTTATTTGACATGCATTTTAAGATCATGTGTGAGACTGTCATTTAACAGGCATTGATGAGGGATGGTACATTATGTTTTTGACCTCAAGTAGTCATGCATTAAAACTAAGTACATGTTTTGGTAGCCCAGAGACCTCAGGAAAAACCCAAATCACAATATTTGGAGCACCTTTAAGCATATATTTAGTAAGTCATTTTCGAAGCCATTTAATCCTCTTTATAACAACACAGTATAACTTACCAGTGTTCTTGGTGTCAGTTTTAAGAATTTGGCAAAACACTGAAATTTTTATTTATGTTTCCATAGAGACCAAGTTTTAACAACTAAATAGCATCAGTAAAATTGTAAAAAATTAATAGAAATTCTTAAATTTTATTTTATAGCAACAATTATGTATCAATGTGGTTCCTTGGAATAATTTTTCGAAGAGTAGAAAATGCAGAAAGTGTTAACATAGACTTGACGTATGATATACAATCATTTACTGATACAGGTAAGACTTTGTCATCATAGAGCTATGGTTGTCACCCTTGGTTGTAATGCAGTTATCAGGTTCTACAATTGGTTAAATGAACACAGTACATCCATATTATGAAAATCTGTGCCGTTATTAAATAAAGGCATGATGAAACAATTTGCATGACATGAAGTAGGGAAAATTGCAGAACAGTGTGTATAGTGTGTTACCATTTATATAAATAAGAAAGAACATGTGCATGTTTGCTTATAAATAGAATATTTCTGGAAGGATATATAGTTTTTAAAGAAACTGGCAGAACTGGTTGCTTCAAAGTCAAGAAACCAGGTATGTCTTAGGGGCCAGGGGCAAGGAGACTTTACTGAATACTCTTGAACTCTTTAAATTTTATACCATGTGAATGTGTTATCTGTTCTAAAACAAAAGGAATACTGAAGAAACCCTACAGGTGATTCTTAATATGCACAGCCAGGGTTTGTAATCACAGTCATAAAGATGACTTGATTTTTATTGTTTGCATGAAATAAATATCAGTCAACACATTAAATTCTTTTGAACTAGCCCTCACATTTATTATGAAAGTGCAGATTCCCGTGCATCACTTTAGAACTACTGAATCACACTCTAGGAGTGGAGCCAGAGAATCTGCAAATTGAACAAGCACTCCCGGCAATTCTTTTATAAGCACTCTGGAATGAAAACATAAATTTTTCTATTCTAATTTGGGCTCATTTTTCAAAAAGGAAGAGGTTGAGAAACTTTATTATATATTTATAAAATATTCTCCAGATAGATACTGAGGCCTCAAGAGATTAAATAATTTACCACATTTCATAGTACTTACTGTGCAATAGAAGCCTCCCATCCTGTCTTCAATAAGCTTATAATCTAATTGAGTATTCACAGTTAACATACATTAATTAAATATTAAATCAGTAAATGAAACTGATTTTCTAATAAGATATGAAAAGCACTGGGATGGGAATCTAGGGCTGCGTATATTCTGATCCCAGCACAGGTGTTTAAGGCTGTTGAGCCTCGTTTCCCCACCTGTACAATAAGGATGTACTTTTAGATGGTTTGCGACATCTGACATTCTACGATTGGTGTAGTAAAGGCAGCTTCATGGAGAGGGAGAACTTGAATCTTGGGTATTTAGTGTAAGATTAACTTAAACTTGGGCGAGTAATTATGAGAAGAGACTGCCTTTTGGGAAAAATAGCAGAAAACAAGATTTGGAATAAAACCTTTTGCGTACATTTATTTTGTCAATGATGTGGTTATGGGAAACTCTTAGAAGTTGGACATAGAAAACTAGTTGGTGCTTGAATAGAATCGTGACCTGGTGAAGATGTTTTAGAAATATTGATCTGTAAGAAGGGTGTATGATTGTGTTTGTGTGGTGATGGGGAGTATGCATTTCAGAAAAGAAAATGGAACCCTTGGTTCAGAAAGATGTTTCCATTTAACATATTGACATCGTTACAGTGTACAGGCAGGCAAACAATATAAACATGCTAAAGGAGGGAATGAAAATTGAAGCAACTCATGTTAAAAAAAAACAACTTCATCACTATCTTCCAGCAGAGATTCTTCAAAAGAAGAAAAAGGTGAGTCTGTAATCTTACTCTCTAATATGGTTCCTGGAAACATTTGCATTCTTACAGCTCCCAAACCTATTGAGAAGAGGGGCGGTACAGACAATTCAGTCTAGGACCAAAATATCACCATCAGTAATCACAAAATAATTTGTTTTATATGTAGCTTAGAAATTAAAACAGTCATTATTCTCACTTGCTTTTTGAAATCCTAAAAGCTTTCCCTTCTTTCAGCAAAGTCTTTCTGATGTCAATCGAAGTTCAAGTGGACCGCAGTCCAAAAGATCATCTCTGGATGGCAGTTGTTTGGATAGCTCCAGAGACACTGATAACGGAACACCTTTTAATTCCCCAGGGTCTACAAACAAACCTTCCAAGCCTGATGTTCCACCTTCAGGAGAAACAGAAAGGTCTGTATTTCAAAATTGCCCTATCAGCCTTCATTTTATTTGAGGATAACATAAACTTTTCTATATTTTTGTTAAATACCTTTTTTTAATTGTTAAATAATTTTATTTTACCAGTAGATAGTTTGTGCAGAAACACTGGACAGTTCGTGGTATTCCTGTGGGGCTTGGCCTAAGGTTTATTATGGATATGTGGGAATAGAGTAGTTCACGGCAGTGGACATTTTCTGTTTGATTTTTTTCTCTTAATTCTCACTGAATCCTCTGCCTTTTTCTCCCCTTTTCTTTCAATGAAATATTAAAGTAGTAATACTTGAAATAATCCTAAATGTTAAAATAAGTGTCTTAAATAAGTAATATTTAAATCATTTAATGATGATAATTTAACACTTTTAACAGGAATAATGCTGAGCTTGCTGCTGTAATTGTGGAAAAGCCACTGAGTGTCCTGCCAGCTCAAGGACTATCTATTCCAGTCATTGGTGCAAGTAAGTACCTAAACTTTTGTAAGTAATGATTCTACTACATATATATTTAATCACTAAAATCTTTTTTCCTTTTCAGAAGTTGACTCTGTGGTAAAAGCTGTATCACCCCCAGCTGTGTGCACCATTCCTACTGTAGTAGGACGAAATGTTATTCCTAGGATCACAACACCCCACAACCCTGCCCAGGGACAACCACATCTAAATGGAATGTCAAATATAACTAAGAATGTTATGTCCAAGAGATCCCATTCCCCATCCATAGATGGGTCTTCAAAGAGATTGAAAGACATAGAAAAGGTAAAGTTACAACTTTAGTGGTGATTCAGTAGTAGATCTTTGATTTTTTAGAAGTTAATAGAGTACTAAAGAAACTCACAGTTCTCCATAGCTATCTTAGTGTTCTACTAGATTTTTTATCCTAACCTTAAAGGAACAACACTGATTGTTCATCCTAAATTCCAATTACTAATATGTCTGAAAACTTGAATGATTGGTTTAAGTTTCTCCTTGACTTACACAGAAGTCATTATTGGGAACTAAATATTTATTGTGTTATACTGTTCAGATCCTTTGCCTCCAGTAGGGGGTGGTAAAACTATTTGTTATAAACTAAATTGAAAGATCACTCAAACTGTAGAAATTAAGCGTGGCAGTTGAATTCAATCTAATTTAAATTCTCTTCTATAATCAACCCATGTTTATAGGTAGTTTTGATACTAGCCTAATCACTAGTTCCTCAGTTTATATCGGTTTTGTATGCTTTTTATAGGTAATAATAGCAATCATTTTAATGTTTATATTTTAGTTTATTCGACTTGAATCAAAGTTTAAGGAATCGCGTGCTGCTGAAAACAGAAAAAGAAAATCAGTGGTAAATATATTAATAGTGTGCTTCAAAATACTTGTAGAGTCATGTATCAGAAAAAGTACTGTATTTGAAAGTGGATCAGCTTAGATCTGTCTGACAAGTTTTGGTATGTCTTATTTCATGTAGAAATAAGCGTTTGCATGTAGGAAAGAAAGGTTTCACTTGTATATAATTCTTCTATTTTTTAGGATGCCATTGGAGGAGAATGTATGCCTATTCCAACTATTGATACATCACGCAAAAAGGTAACCTATTCATAGGTAATATATATAGGTTAAAATTTGTAGTTAATGTACAAGAGCCTAGCACTGGGTGAAGGAAAAGGGTGATAAGATTTTGTCACTATCCTCGAAGACCAGCAGTATAATTGGAAGTGGAAATAGCAAAGTATATGATCCTAAATGTATGTACCTCAAGTAAAGATGGAGGAGTAGTTTAAGACTTCACAATTTATTCAGATTATGTTCAGCTTTTGTTTTTTATTTATCTTTAAAGAAGCAGTGTAGTGCTCAGCACAGTAATTTCTTACCAACACTTGATAGTATATCTTTTTTTGTGCACCACTGCTTACTGTCAAACTTTAGATTTGCTAGTTAGGAACCATACTAATTAATATTTTGAAGGAACCAAATAACCAGTGTATATAGTAAGTACCTTTAAAACATGAGCTAAACAGCCCCTAAAGTTCAATTTAAAAATTTAATTTTCAAAGAATTACCATTGAAACTAATAATATGGTATTAAGCATGGTAAGATGATAAGCAGGTGCTCAAAATTCAGCCTTGTGTAAATCAAAGAAAGCCCTTCTTTGAGAGTTTATGCTGAGCAACGTACAAAATGGCTTTTCACCCTCAATTAAAGAATAAAGTGCTTCTCATCACAGTCAGCTGTCACCCTGCTAGGTTCCCCAGTATGTATTAGCCATTCTAAAGCAAAGTAGAAAGTGTCCTCATACTTTATTAGTTGTAGAATTTGTAAAATTCCTTTTAACATAAGAGAGGGTTACAAAAAATATGAGTAATTACATGTGATAAGAAAACTTTTGAAATGGATATTAAAGTATGAAAGCATGAAATAACCTGTATGGGTTTTGCTTTAAAATATTTCAAGTATAAAGGATAAGGGCATAAACCAAATGTGGCAAAATGTTAATGTCTGAGTCTTGGTTGTAGCATCTAAGTCTTCATTGTCCTATTCTCTATTTTTATACATGTCTGAAATTTTGGATGTGGATATGATATAGATAATTGTTTAGCCAAGGTAACATGAGAGAATTAACTCTTGCAGTCATCTCATGACTAGAAGCTAATATACTGTTTCCATCACACAACTCTGTTTTAGGCGTCTGTCTCTGTCAATTTCTTAGACTCTGCCTTCATTATATAATAATCTTTAGTATCCTCAAAAGCCTTCGTATAGATGTCCCTGAATTTCACCTCACCGACGTTACCTAGCTTGACTACAAAGTCAGTTTTTCTGAACACTTAAGTATCTCCAGTGTTCTTCATGAATTTATTATAGAAACGAATTGAGGGATGTAACTGCATATCAAATTGTCCTCTGTAACACTTATTTTTCCCCCCTCAGAGTTTCTTGTTAGTGACCAGGCTCTGCCTATTTCTCTTTAATATTGCCTGACTTTGAGGAAGACTCTCTTTATGCTTTTCTCAGTCCAGAACTGGCAACTGATTTAACAGAGTCCTCTTTCCTATACATACACTCACACTTCTACCCTTATCTGTTTTTCACCTAAATTTAAAAAAAAAAAAAGTCCCCAAACAAGAAATGCCTGTGAACATTGAGAGAAAATATTCAACATGAGCTTGAAGTGTGTAGGAGCATCAAGGATTTGAAGAAAAACTCAATTTTATGACTCGCTTACTAGTTGAGCCTTATTTGCTTTTCCTTCTTTGTTTCTATTTTTTTCTAATAGAGACTACCCAGTAAAGAACTACCAGATGCATCATCCCCAGTTCCAGCGAATAACATCCGTGTCATCAAAAATTCCATTCGACTGACCCTTAATCGGTAAAAGCAGTGCCTCCTTACTTAAGTGAATATGCAATCATATAGTGACACAGATGCAGCCACTTTTTTAAAAATAGAAGTGGCTGTCGTACATAAAATAAGGTGAAAGTTACAGTCATTGGCTTAACAACCTTGAAGTGGTTTTTGAACTCTCACACTTTGACCTGCAGATGCTGTAGCATTCTCTCATTGATTGCTACATACACTTCTCTGAGGATTACCTGCTATCAAATTGTCATCTATAATATTATGGCTTTGTGTTGGAGGTTTCACTGCCTTAACTTTTGATTCTTGTTTCTCTGTTATGGGAACCAGTTCTTGGCTCTTTGAACACTGATAAAACAAGTCCTGAACTTTTTTTTTTTTTTTTTTGTCTTATGTTGTAATCATTGTACAGAACTAGAAAAGTTGAAAACAAAAAAAAAAATCGTCTTGTAATTTTCCAAATGTTAACACATTTACTTTAGCTTTGAAGCCACTTTGTGAAACCAGAGATAAATGAATGTGAGGTATCTTTTCTGATTTCCTCATTTGTGTAGATGTACTTATTGTCTGTTCTGTTGACTTAAATTATTTTTTTCCAGATTGGTACATGGAATATTTTAATTTTTTTGTGCCTTTCTGTCCAATGTTGCATAGTTACCAGGGAGGATTAGTCCAGTGATTACATAAGAGTTGGGCACCATAAATTCTCTATATTTTGCCTCCCATGGAGGCCTTCAAAATGCATCTTTATTAAGAATCAAAATATAACCAGGATACTACTGAAAGTCAGTATATGAATGGTGAAATTGTTACATATCCTATCTCATGCCATTCTTGTTAGTTGATTGGTATTTTTTACTGAAGAGCAACTCATTCTAGCATCAACAATAAGATACTTTTTAAGTATGGCAAACTTGTATTTTTGAGGTGTAAAATTAAATTGGCATGACAATTCCTGACCATTACCTACCCTACAACTTCAGACATTTTCTTTACAAACTAGGCATGCAGAAATAAGCAGTGGGTTTTATTAAAACAAAGGCATTTTTGAATGACATTGTTACCAATCATTAACTGGCTCAGGACCTTTGTAATTTTTATTTAACTATGAGTTGTCTTTTTTTACACTGCTTTTTTCAATGCATTTCTTAATATTTTTTAAGTTTCATGAATGCATGCTCAGTTTATTAAAATCCATAACCATGTAATTCTTGTAATATGTTGATCCAGTGTTTTGTAAATGAAGTCGTATGTATTTTCAGAGTATTTTTGTATGTACTGTAAGATACCATCTTTTCAAAGAGAAAACTTTAAAACCTTTACTGTCTCTCTTTAGTCTAATTTTTTAAAATATGGATTATGCTTGAATTATTCTTAAAATGAAAATGTATAGACTGAACAGCCAGAAATGCTGGTATAACCTTCTTCAGCTTTCACTCAGCATTTAGTAAGTCCAGTAGGAAAAATACAAAATGGCATATCTGAATAGTGCAGGGAAAACACTTGGTTGTGTGTTTTATAGGACTCATGGAACACCTTTTAGCCAATGGGGTAATAGCAGTCTATTTTCTCTTCTGAGCCCTGTACCATTGATTTGAAATACTTGAGTTTTGATTGTCAGGGAGCAGTATCCTTCTCCTCCCACTCCTGTTCTATGACCCCCAGGTCTCTGAAATGAAAAGTCTAGTGTCTAACTTGTACAAAGGAAAACTACTTAGAAGAAGAGCAAGGAAAAGGTACAAAGGAAAACTACTTAGAAGAAGAGCAAGGAAAAGGTAATGTTTGTTCCATTATTCACTTTTTACATATCAGAAGACAAGGATGAAATCTCCCCAAGTTGTAGCTTTCTTGGCAAAGCTGTTCTCTTAGCTAACCCTTTTCCTTTATTCAGATATTTTGACATTTGTTCTACAAATATTCTATTCGAGCAAAGAAGAATGATTATGAAAGGACTGAATAACTGTCATCTGACTTCAGACTTTGAAAATTTCTTTAGTAAGGGATTTTATTAAATTTCATATGTATGATGTGTTTACATTTCTGTATTTAATATCTAGATATTATCCCCTTCTATTATCAGTCTTCAGAGTCTCTTTAAGAAATATATATATATATCTTTACCCTATTATATAAACAATCTTTGGGGTGACTAGAGGAGTTTTTCTTTAATAAGAAAACAATAGGCCTGACCTCTGTCCTATAGTATAATCATTTCTCTTGTTTTAAGGGTCTATTCAGCATGAGGTTAAGACAGCCAGTGGTTCATGTTAGACTCCTCAGAGATAGATAGCATTTTTCAACCTATTTGGTAACCTATTAAGATGGTGGGTTTGGTCAGAAATGAAGTGTTTTCTATCTGAACAGTAGGTAAAATGCTCAGTACATTCTGTTACCATTGTAGGAGCTCCCCACTGTGCTGGTTCCAAGTAAATAAAAGGGAAAGTATGGTCTGGGTTGCATGTATGTTCAGAACACTAAGTAGAGACATTTGATTTTAGGTGTGAAAACTATACCTAGAAATATATTTTTATAAAGTCAGATAACATATTCTTCATTATGTAGATACATTCATTTTCACAAGGGAATTAAATTTTAATCTGCTCACTTTTTAGTGACTGGCTCTGAAAAATAGTATGTTATCAAAGGAAAACAATTATCTGCTAGTTTAACCTTAGGGACAATTTGAAAGACAGGGTACATGGCTTAAAACCTTGTAAAATTGGGGCAGGAGAATGAATTTTAAGAGACTATATTGGTGCTAACAATAAGAACAACTTTGTCTTAAGGCAGTGATTTAGTAACATTATTAAAATGTTTACCATAGCAGCAATGAAGTGAAGATGGGCAATGTTGAAATGGGCTAAACTTATTTTCCACTGTTTCACAGCTTTGAAATCTGAATTCCTAACTTGGGTATCATGGACCCTAGGAAATCCTTTGCAAATATATATAAGTAGTGATTAATAAACATTTTACTGAGGGGATTTCATAGCTTTCCTCATCTTCTCAAAATGGTCCATGACCCTAGAAAAAGGAGGGGTCCAGAATTGAATAATCCCAGATATTTGGGCATAAGATTTTTCTGTGGTATATTTCTGAAAATTAACTGTGGCTCTTAAATAGTAAAGTGGGCTGATGGAGGATGCTGGAACACCAAATTTCTAAGTTTCTTTATATATTTCAGATGAAACTTCATCAGTATTTAGAAAAACGCTTACCATTGGATTTATAAATATCCTCATGTTTAGAATCGTCAACAGGGTCAAACTTCAGTTTAATAAATTTCAACCTAAGATTGATTAGAATAGCTCAGAATGCCCATTAGCAATGGTAAAAAGTAGAATTAATCATTAAACATCCTAATGCTTTGTTTTCAGCAGCATTAAAGTTCTCTTGTTCCTCCATGTTCAGACCAGAACAGACTGAACAGACCAATAAATAGAACTTTAGTTTAAAAAATATTTTTTATAAATAAAACTGTATGTGTGTTTCAATGATTAACTACCTATTAAATCTTCCAAAGCTTAGAATTTAGGTCATGATGATAGTGATAAGTAGTGCAGATGATGGAAGAAAATCAGTCTCAATAACGGTAACTATGGATTTTTAAAAAGAATTATACAAGGTCAGATCCTTCCCAAATTCCCTGTTTTTTTTTCTGAAATAATTTTTGATATTTTATATTTGAAGTTAGTTGAACAGAAGATTATCATCAGACTTACTATAATTTTAAGCTGTTGCTACATTTTAGCAAAGACCCACATAATTACCTTATAAAGTACTTAGGATATCTTTGAGGTAAATGGTGCTACATCACTCCACAGTGTTATATAAAATGAATACAGCTGCTTTTCCTTTCTAGGTAGCTGTTTGTATAGTTCATATTCATTTTTCCTGCCCTTTATTTGCATTGTCTTATTTCTTAGTTGTACACATGAGCCTCATTATTTGTCTGGAATAAGTAATCAAATAAACTTGCTTTGATAAATAGGTGTTGGTGATTGATATTATTCTGGAGTAACTTAAATGTACCAGACATCTTATTGTTCATATTGACAGCCAAGTTGGTCATTTACCATTCAGACTATTTTTGGCAGATAACAGTATCCACTACCTGCTTAATATGCAAGTAAAACTTACACTCAATTTACCTCACAAGAATCACTTACTAAACATTTATTAACAAGCAGTAGTACAATAACATATGCCTCAAGTATTGAGTGCAAAATTCTGTCACCTATGTAGTCAACATCAGGTGACTAGAGTTGTCTTCTAATATTAGGCTCACAGAGGTACATTCAGCAATCGTGCCTTTGGTACTGCCTACACAAGTACAAGTTACAGAGCTTGTTACATTCTTGAATTGGAACAGTGACTTGTTTTTAGCCAGTCTACTAGTATCTTGAATACTAGTACTGAAATCACAAATAAGAACTTGTGTCTACATTAAGATTATTAGCAAGCCACTCATGGCACCAATGGAAACACATTTGACATGTATTAAGCTAATTAGCAAAGCTGCCTATATTGATCTATGGATAACAGAAGAACTCTTGTACTCACTTGTGAAGCATGCTCTTCCTGATTGGATTGCCAGCAGACCATCCCTGGGTGTGACTTTGTGATTAAGGCAACTCACTGCTCCTAGGATATAACACAATTTTCATACTATGCTGAAATGTTTTAAAGTAAATTAACATCATAACAGGTTCTTTGTGGATCCAAATGCATTAAAGTATTAAGTGCAAAATAGAATTTGTTGCCTTTATAGCACATGTTCTAAAACTATCTTTCATATGATCCAGCCAAACTTTTACTTATTAGTCCTCAAAAATCATACTTCTAAGCCCTTCCTTTACAACCTGATTATTAACATTTGGGGCCTAATGGCTGCATAAAGCCATCCATGATAACTTTGACAGAGTGAAATCATCCTGCCTTCTTATTACTTGTACCTTCTAACATTTCAATTATTCTAACTTGTGTGATGTTCAGTTTACCTCTTGTTTCCCCTGACAAGGTTGTAGATTTGAGAGTAGTAATCTTTATCCAAGAATCTTTATGTAATGGGTGCCCAGAAAATGCTTAAGAGGAAAATGCATGAGTACTGTTTGGTTGCTTTTTTGATTTTTTTTGTATTTGTTTTTTTAATTTGGATAGGATTATCTAGAAGAGAGACCTGACAAAGGAACTAAGATACAGAGGCACACAAAACTTACTGAAAATCATTGACGTTTTTCAAACTTTTTCAACTGTAATGTTAGTAAATACATTTAAATTGCAAGTCAGCACATTTTACACACACAAATGAATATATGTATATATAACAGATATGTATATACACATGTATAATTAAAACAAGTTTCACAAAGCAATGCTTTCCTTACTATGTGTATGTGATCCAGGTTAATATTTTTTTGTTTTAAGTGCTAGTTGTGATTTCACGAAGGTGATTTCACAACCTCTCAAGTCATGACCTACAGTGTAAAAAACACTTCATTAGTTCTGTCCCCAAAAGTCCATCTCAAACTTGAATCATATTTCTTTATTCAGTCCTTCTGTTCTAGAATGCAAACTGGTACAGGAAATAGTACTAGAAAGGACAGTAACATGAAGCATGTGAGCTTAGGTGAGGTATAGATAAACTCCTTTCTCCCAAGGAAAGTATGACCCAGAAAACGTAACATCTTTGCATCAATTGATAATTTGAAAAAATATAAAAGCCAGAAATCAGCAAAGAGCAAGAATTGGGAGATAAAGATGGTATTTTAGTATTGGTCAGTTGGCCTCTGCTGGCCAAGGGATGTCATCAGTCCCTGGAGGGTGGACTGGGGAGGGTGAACTAAAGAATGACATCTTATTAACCAATAGTCACATGCACAAATTACTCATTTAGAAAATTCTATTGTACACAGCTGTTAAATCCTAGCATGGTTCAGGAACTCAAGGATACTAAGGAACTGAGGTCTAATAGTAAAAGTACTACTATCTACTGAGAAATTCTAGACCATAATTATAAAAGTGTTTAACATTTTCTAAGCATTTAGGATATACTTTTTAAAATATTTTGGCACTTAATCCTTACAATGATCCTATGAAGTAGCAGTTATTACTTTACAAGTGAGGAAATTGAGGCTTAGAGAGATTATGTGAGCAGCTCAAAATTGCGTAACTATTAACTAGCAGGCTCAGGAAGTACAATTCAAAGCCTAGTGCTCAGCCATATCTCCCATTTATGAAAGAAGTTAGATGGAGGTGTTGATCAAGTCCCTGCCACCATGCATTCCATGGAATCTGGAACTTTTGAGGTGAACTTGGCCAGAACCAACAATGTTCATTTGTGCCAGGCTGCAGGGGGCACTGTGGCTTCCTGCAGAGAGCCAAGGCTAAGAATCAGAAAAGCCCAGTTCTAGCCAGGCTCTGCCACTTGTATCTATGTAACTTTGACACTCGCTCTCTTCCCTACCCCATCCAACCCATGCTTTGTTTTCTCCCATCTGTAACACTTGACCTTCAAATCTCACAGGGAAGCTGTGACATGAAAGTAGTCCAAAAGATTAGCAGAGTTCTACAGATAGGATGGACAGGCAGTTAATCTCCCAGAATAACAGCTATATAATATTTTTTAATCATCAGTCTAAGTTGGAACAGGAAGCAAAGGGATTCAGGAGAAATATTGCCAAGAATAGAAAAATGAAAGTTTACCTGATAAGCTTGATCATAGTGAAAGGATGTTAACATTTCTATCAGAGTATGAGAATAAACAAGTAAATGTTTTAAAATGACACATATTTCAGGGAAATCAAAAAGCTAAATAAAAATATACAGTGTCAACATGGGTCAGCTCTGAGTATTCACATAGGCCTAATAATATAAGTAGAGAATACTGAACTAGCCTAAAATTGTAACTATACTGAATAGGTGCGGGGGGAGGGAGGAAGGAGGGACAGGCTAAAAGGATGAAATCCTCATCTTCAGTGAAAGTAAGTAGAACATATCTAAAACGGAAAAGTCTAGTGTACATGTGTTTAGAAATAATAGGAGAAAAATAAATAGTAACTAGGAGTAAATAATAGGAGAAAAGTCTTAAAATGAAATAATTGCCTCTAGGGAGCAGAAATTGAGAATGAGGGGAGGAGAAAGGGAGGAGATGACTTCTTTCCCTTTAAAAAAAAAAGACTTGTAAAACATTTTGTCTTTTACACTAGTGTATCCACTATCTAACCAGTATACGGTAAGCAAGTGTTATAGGCTTTGGAACAGATAGCCTGTAGGTACAGCTCCTAATGCTTGTGGAACCTTGGGAAAGTTGCTTGACTCCTTTGGGTTTCAGGTAACAAATCTGTAAAGCAGGAATATCAATACCTGTTTCACAGAAGTATAGGAAAGTGGCTAAGAGGATCTGCAGTCAGACTACCTAGACTCAGATTTCAGCTCTCACTGACTGAGAAATTGTGGCAAGTACTTAATTTCTCTGTGCCTTGGTTTTTTCTGCCAAGAAATGGTGATTATAATAGCAATCTACCTCAAACTGTTGCCAAATAGATTAAAAGATAATCCAGAAGCTCCTGGCACATAGTGGAGGCATTATGAAGTTTATACAAAATAGAACATCATGCAGTACGCATGGTGCTTGACCCATAATGGGCATCCCCTTCTAAAAACACAACAGAAGAATCAAGGAAGGAGGCCAGTGTCTGTCTCCCGACCGGACTGAAGTGACAGATTTTTACCTCCCATGCAACGATGCAGAGATAGCCCCTCTCCAAACATCTCAGAAGTTTTATTTGGAGAAAATGTGTAAAACTCATTTAATTCTTACGGAGTCTCCCTGGCTTGTTCTTCAGTCTACTTAAAGGTTACAACAGGTTAGGCTGAGATGAGAAAGCCTATCAAGGCTGTCCCGGCCAGCCCAGGGACTCCCAGAGCACCTAGCAGAGCATGTACACCACCAATGTGCAATAGACACATCTTCTGATTTCAGATCGGGCTGCGTCTGTAAAACTTGACACATGGAGAAATGGCCACAGGAATGACTTAAAGCCACACCCATTCCCAGATGCACCTTAACCTCATTACTCCCACCTCTCCTGGGAGTGAGACAAGACTGTCTAACCCAGATCCCAAGTCACTTCCTGCCAAGGCTTCACAACAATTCAAAGAACTTCTAAGTGCGGGTTCTTTCCAAATAGATTGGTTTCTTGAAACTCACAAGAAGTCAAACACCAGAAAAGAGGGGATTTCTGAAAGCCACCCACTAGGATGGCAACTAGTACTTGGTAGTTTCAAATATTAAGAAAAGAAAAAAAATCAGCGTTGATTAGGCAGTATCTAATCTCCCTGAGCACAGGAAATGAAGGCGATTGAGCCTGATTTGCGGGAGGCCCTGAGGTTGCACAAAGCAGCCACTCCTCTAGCAAGGCCCACTCACCGCCTGCAGAGATGCCTGCTTTGCCTGCCTCCAGCTGAGCAACCCAGAGGGAAAGCACCATTAAATTCCCTGTGAGCTCTGAGCCAGTTAGCTGCACCAAGGTCACCAGGTGAAGGGGA